CACTCTTCGGGTGCTGCTGCACATAGCCGCTCAGCGCGACTACGAGCTCCACTCTCTTGACTTCAGCACTGCTTTCTTGCAGGGTAGCCTGCACGAGGAGATATGGGTGCGTCGTCCACCTGGCTTCACTGGGACTTTCCCTCCTGGCACCCAGTGGAGCCTCCGACGGCCAGTCTACGGTCTCCGCCAGGCACCGCGTTAGTGGCACGACACACTGAGGACTACGCTTGCGGCTCTTGGGTTTGCTCCCTCTACTGCTGACCCGTCGTTGTTTCTGCGCACCGACACTTCTCTGCCGCCGTTCTACATCCTCGTGTACGTTGACGACTTGGTCTTTGCCACAGCGGACACTACTAGACTCGTCTACGTGAAGTCCGAGCTACAGAAGAGACACACGTGCACAGACCTGGGTGAACTGCGCAGCTACCTTGGCTTGCAGATCACTCGGGACAGAGCACGATGCACCATTACCTTAACTCAGTCACACATGGTGCAGCAGGTCCTTCAGCGCTTCGGCTTCATGTACTCCTCGCCTCAGGCCACTCCTCTGTCTACTCGCCACTCGCTCTCAGCTCTGCCTTCGGATGAGTCCGTAGAGTCGAGTGGCCCGTACCCAGAGCTTGTCGGCTGCCTCATGTACCTGATGACCTGCACACGACCTGACCTTGCATACCCTCTTAGCATTCTTGCACGCTATGTTGCTCTTGGGAGACACCGACCAGAGCACATGGCTGGAGCGAAAAGGGTGTTGCGCTACTTGTGCAGTATGTCGGGCATACGGCTAGTGCTTGGAGGGCGGAGTCCAGTGGTCCTCACTGGGCACGCGGACGCTTCTTGGGCTGACGACCAGGCTACTCAGCGGTCGTCACAGGGTTACACCTTCAGACTTGGTTCCGGCTCTGTTTCGTGGCGGGCTACTTGCTCTGTTCTCGGCTCTAGTTGTGAGGCTGAGATCTACGCCGGGGCCATGGCTGCTCAGGAGCTTCGCTGGCTCACCTACCTGCTGACTGACCTTGGAGAGCCGCCTCGTTCTCCTCCAGTGCTGTACGTAGACAACAAGGCCATGCTGGCCTTGTGTCGAGAGCAGCGTCTGGAGCACAGAACGAAGCACATTGCTCTCCGCTACTTTCTTGCTCGTGAGCTGCAGCAGCGTGGTCTGTTGCGACTTGCGTACGTGGCCTCTGAGGCCAACACTGCTGATGTTTTGACGAAGGCACTTCCGCCTTGTGATCATCAGCGCTTCTGCACTCAACTGGGACTTGTACCTGTCTTACCTCACTTGCTCACCTCTTGATCTTACTTGTACTCTTGCATATATATATACCTGCTCTTGCTTGTTTAGTGTTATATATATATGTGCAAACCTGCATGTGAACTGGCCTTGTGGCCTTGACCTTGTGCTCAGACTGTGTGGTGACTTTGTGATCCACCCTGAGCTTGCTTTGCTTTGCTTTGCTTGACTGGTCTTGTGACCCCTTGTTCTCCCCCACTTTGCCTATGGGGGTGTGTCAGATATATATGACATAGCTATTGTAGGCTATAGTGGGGTAGCACATATGGGGTACAGCTTTCTAGGGTTTGTATTTGTACCCAACTTTCAGTTAGTCATTCCCATTTCTCGTTCAACTTCTCTCAGTGTTCGCCGTTTGAAGTGGTCGAATTTGCGGCGACGGCACGTATCGTAGGAGTGACCACACCTCACTTGGAAACAGCACACTGAGGGGGGGAAACGTGGGCGACGCGGAAATGAAACATAGTGCAAGTACAGAAGGCGTAACAAAAACTTATTAAGGTCCTACACCAAACTTAACCAACATCAGAGTAAAGAAAAAAATTACTCTGACGTGCCTGGGTTTTTTTTTTTGAAAGTATAGAGTTACTCTGACAAATCAGAGTAAGGCGCATGAACAACCCTAGATTTCAGAGTTGGGAAAAAAACTACTCTGGAAATCAGAGTACCTAGAATCCAAAAGTAGGCCTTGATTGCTCTTGTCAGGACTGCACCATGATTTTTCATGTTTTGCTATTTGTAATAAGGATAAAGTGCCTTGAGAACAGTTGATACAATGTTCACGTAAAGGACACGGAAGTTATATGTTGTTGAAGCTCCCCGTAAGGCGATGCCATTGATGGCATTAATGGAGAACTGATAAGGGAGCTCCACTATTCAAATTTCAGCGACAATATCCATGGCGGATGCATGGAGGCGGAGAGCGTTGTCATTAGAAGCCAATGAATTGAGATTAGAAGGGTGTGTTTGCTTGATAAGTATATTTTTTTGGAGGTTGAGATACACTGAACTGTGTATACATCCACACTGTTACGAGTGCAATTGAGTGGACGAACAAGAATTGCACTATCGAGGCAAGAATACAATGAGCGAAGGCATAAGCGAAGAATATATAGCGAAACTACAGTGGTAACGGTAATGGACTGTGGTTGTCGTGCGACGAGCCTGGGACTGAGGTTGGGAAAGTGTCGAAGCGGAGGCCCGGAGCGCGGGTTACCAGCCGAGCCGTGAGGTCGGGGTGCGATGTGCGAAGATGGCGGGATGATTGTCGATGCGAGGATCGCGAGTGGTAACGGTGCTGACTGAGGTGCTACAGTGATCTACGCGTTGAGCAGGGATGCAAAGTAAGGAAAAGGGATTTTCCTTACACTACCCCCCCTCCTAAGGAGGTCCTTTTTACGAAAGAGCGTGGATGTCCCTGAAGTTTCGGCTGCAAAGATATTCGGTGAGAACAGGGTGGTTTTCAATTCTGTCCAGGGGAACCCAGATGTCCTCGGTGGGTGTATGGTTTTTCCAGCGGAGCAGGAACTCGATCTTTCGGGCTCCTCGAGGGTCGCGAACTCTGTGGCTCAGGATTTTGTCGGGGATGATGATTGGTTCGGTTGGCGGACGAGCCATGCTGGCTGGGCGATTTCGTGGGAGTTGGCTTGTGGATGGTACGTAAGGGCGAAGCAGGCTGACGTGGAACGAGGGGCTGACGTACCAGTCAGCAGGGAGGAGGAGGTGCGCGGTGACAGGTGTTATCATATGGCTAATTCGAAATGGCCTGCAGTATCGAGGGCGGAGTTTGGGGGTGATGGGCAGGCGGAGGTTTTGAGTGTCGAGTAAAACGAGGTCGTCGGGCTGGTAAGTGACAAGTCTGCGGTGGCGGTCAGCGTTGCGTTTAGCGATGATGTTTGATTTATTGATTGCTTCTGCTGCCCTGGTTCGTGCTGCTTGCAAAATCTCAGTGAACTGTTGTGCGCGTGGAACGGGGTTGTCGGGATTCGGGGTCATGGGTACTGTTGGGTCTTGTCCGTAATTCAGGTAAAATGGTAAATGTTGGGTCGTGGCGGATGGGGCGTTGTTGTATGCGAATTCGATGAGTGGCAGTTGCTGTTCCCACGTGTTTGGATCATCACACGTGGCCCTAATGAGCTGTTCCATGGTCTGGTTTGTCCGTTCGGTCTGTCCGTCGGTTTCGGGGTGATACGATGAACTGAACTGTAGGCGCGTGCTGAACTGCTGCCACAGATTCCGCCAGAAGCTGCTAGTAAACTTCGTGTCTCTGTCGCTGATGATTGATGCTGGTATCCCGTGCAGTCGAACGACGGTAGAGATGAAGAGGCGGGCTGTTTATTCGGCTGTGATTGATTTCTTGCAGGCTGCGAAGTGTGCCATTTTCGTCAGTCAATCGACGACGACCAGGATTGCGTCATTCCCTCTCGCCCCGGCCGGTAACCCCGTGACGAAGTCCATCGTCACTTGCTGCCAAGCCCGCTCTGGAGGTGGGATTGGTTGCAACTGTCCCGCCGGCCGCTTCCGGGTTGACTTCATGATCTGGCAAGTGGGGCACGATGCCACGTGTCGTTGCACGTCGGTCAACATTTCGGGCCAGTAATAGTACCGCTGCAGCTGCTGCCGTGTTTTCTCGACTCCGAAATGTCCCGAGGTAACTCCGTCGTGTGCCTCCTGTAACAGTAATTCCCGTTGTAGTGTGTACCCTGGTACCCAGATGCGTTCGGTCCCAGCTTTTGCGTAATAGACTCCCTTGGCTGCTGCGAATTGCTGCGAGTTTCCTCCTGTGAAGAATGGATCTGTTTGATATCCGTGGGTAAATAGTCCTGTCAGTAGCGGGCTGATCTGGGCGAGTAGTATCGCATGGATCTGGGCAGTGGGGCGGGTCAGTGCGTCGGCGATATTCGAGGCTCCTTTTTTATAGGTGACCGTATAATGGAAATTTGACTCGAGGAAATCGAGCCACCGAATCTGTCGTGGGTTGAGGTGGGGCTGTGCACGGAGGTACTGTAGGGATCGATGGTCTGTCCGTACTGTTACGTCTGCGCCGGTCAAGTAGCAGCGCCACACCTTGAATGCATGCACGATCGCGAGCATTTCGCGGTCGTGTATCGGGTAATTTTGTTCAGGCGGATGCAGTTTTCGTGATTCGTAGGCGATGGGCTGGAGGCCGTTGCCGAAGTCTTGTAACAGTACGGCTCAAATGGCGATGTCGCTTGCGTCTGTAACAACTTCGAAGGGGCGATGTGGGTCAGCGATGCGTAGGACGGGTGGTGAACAGAGAACATGTTTCAGGGCAGAGAAGGCAGCATGCTCTTTCTCCCCCCACGTAAAAGCGACCCCCTTGCGTAGTAAATCTGTTAGCGGGGCTGTTAATCGTGCCATGTCGGGGACGAACCGACGAACGTAATTAACGAACCCTAAAAAACTCTGCACCTCCGTGATGTTCGTCGAGGGATGCCACGCTTTTACGGTATCCAGCTTCTTGGGGTCGATTTCAACCCCAGCCTCCGAAATAACGTGCACTAAAAATTCTAGCCTATCCCAAAAAAACTCGCACTTGGAGCCCTTGGTGAGTAACCGATGTTCCTCTAAAATTTTAAACACTGCTTCGAGATCAACTAAGTGTTGCTGCTGGTCGCGACTGTAAACGAGGATGTCGTCGAGGTAAACTATCACGCATTTATCTAAAAGTGGCCTAAACGCCTCGTTCATGGTCATCTGAAATGTTGCGGGCGCATTGGTCAGCCCGAAGGGCATCACCGTGTACTCGAATGACCCGTACCTAGTCCTAAATGTCAGAATATATTTGCTGTCTAGCCTGCAGTGGGGTACTCTGTAATGAGTACAACCCAATTTAGGGCAATGTACTTGTATTCCAACTCTTGTTAGTCACTTCACTTCCCTTCCAAATTTCTCGATACTCACCTAACCCACTCGAACTCACCTACCTCCTAGTGTGGGCCTAGGCTACTAAGCCTAGGCCCCACACCTACTTTTTCACATGTTATCAGAGCCCGTTCTACCTTGGCCTGTGGGCCCCTATGCTTCCGCTGCAGTCCTTCTTCCTGCCGCGCGCGGAGCGCGCGGCGAATTTTTTTTTAGGATTTCGGAGTTTTTCATCCCGCCGTGCGCTCAGGGCGCGCGGCGGTTTTCCCGTCCTTCGAAGCGCCCTCGGGGGGCCTGCGCGCTGCCCTCCCCGCTGCTCGTCGCGACGCCCGTGCGGGACCCGCGCGGCGTCACCCTGCTCGTCGCGACGTCCGTGCGGGACCCGCGGGGCGTCGCCCCTGCTCGTCGCGACGTCCGTGCGGGACCCGCGCGGCGCCGCCCTACTTGTCGCGACGTCCGTGCGGGACCCGCGGGGCGTCGCCCCTGCTCGTCGCGGCGTCCGTGCAGGATCCGCGGGGCGCCGTCAGAGCCAGCAGCAACCGCCGCCAGAGCCTACAGCAGCGGCCGCCACCACCCAGCAGCAGCAGCCGCCGCCAGGCCTGCAGCAGCAGCCGCCGCCAGGGTGTGCAGCAGCAGCCGCCGCCAGAGCCTGCAGCAGCAGCCGCCGCCAGGGTCTTCAGCAGCAGCCGCCGCCAGGGTCTGCAGCAGCAGCCGCCGCCAGAGCCTGCAGCAGCAGCCGCCGCCAGAGCCTGCAGCAGCAGCCGCCGCCAGAGTCTACAGCAGCAGCCGCCGCCAGAGTCTGCAGCAGCAGCAGCCGCCAGACCTGCAGCAGCTGCCGCCACCGACCCAGCAGCAGCAGCCGCCGCTCTATCAGCAGCAGCAGCCGCCGCCGCTCTGCCGCAGCAGCTACCGCCGCCCAGCTGCAGGTGCCGCCCCTGGACCCCAGAAGCCGCCCCTGGACCCGGTACGCCTTGTGCTGCCCGTGCCTGTTGCCGCCCGTGCCTGTGCTGCCCGTGCCTGTGCTGCCCGTGCCTGTTGCTGCCCGTGCCTGTGCTGCCCGTGCCTGTTGCTGCCCGTGCCTGTGCTGCCCGTGCCTGTGCTGCCCGTGCCTGTGCTGCCTGTGCCTGTTGCTGCCCGTGCCTGTGCTGCCCGTGCCTGTGCTGCCCGTGCCTGTTGCTGCCCGTGCCTGTGCTGCCCGTGCCTGTTGCTGCCCGTGCCTGTGCTGCCCGTGCCTGTGCTGCCCGTGCCTGTGCTGCCTGTGCCTGTTGCTGCCCGTGCCTGTGCTGCCCGTGCCTGTGCTGCCCGTGCCTGTTGCTGCCCGTGCCTGTGCTGCCCGTGCCTGTGCTGCCCGTGCCTGTGCTGCCCGTGCCTGTTGCTGCCCGTGCCTGTGCTGCCCGTGCCTGTGCTGCCCGTGCCTGTGCTGCCCGTGCCTGTTGCTGCCCGTGCCTGTGCTGCCCGTGCCTGTGCTGCCCGTGCCTGTACTGCCCGTGCCTGTGCTGCCCGTGCCTGTGCTGCCCGTGCCTGTGCTGCCCGTGCCTGTGCTGCCTGTGCCTGTTGCTGCCCGTGCCTATGCTGCCCGTGCCTGTGCTGCCCGTGCCTGTTGCTGCCCGTGCCTGTGCTGCCCGTGCCTGTGCTGCCCGTGCCTGTGCTGCCCGTGCCTGTGCTGCCCGTGCCTGTTGCTGCCCGTGCCTGTGCTGCCCATGCCTGTGCTGCCCGTGCCTGTGCTGCCCGTGCCTGTGCTGCCCGTGCCTGTTGCTGCCCGTGCCTGTGCTGCCCGTGCCTGTGCTGCCCGTGCCTGTGCTGCCCGTGCCTGTTGCTGCCCGTGCCTGTGCTGCCCGTGCCTGTGCTGCCCGTGCCTGTGCTGCCCGTGCCTGTGCTGCCTTTGCCTGTTGCTGCCCGTGCCTGTGCTGCCCGTGCCTGTGCTGCCCGTGCCTGTTGCTGCCCGTGCATGTGCCGCCCGTGCCTGTTGCTGCCCGTGCCTGTGCTGCCCGTGCCTGTGCTGCCCGTGCCTGTGCTGCCCGTGCCTGTGCTGCCCGTGCCTGTTGCTGCCCGTGCCTGTGCTGCCCGTGCCTGTGCTGCCCGTGCCTGTGCTGCCCGTGCCTGTGCTGCCCGTGCCTGTGCTGCCCGTGCCTGTTGCTGCCCGTGCCTGTGCTGCCCGTGCCTGTGCTGCCCGTGCCTGTGCTGCCCGTGCCTGTTGCTGCCCGTGCCTGTGCTGCCCGTGCCTGTGCTGCCCGTGCCTGTGCTGCCCGTGCCTGTGCTGCCTGTGCCTGTTGCTGCCCGTGCCTGTGCTGCTCGTGCCTGTGCTGCCCGTGCCTGTGCTGCCCGTGCCTGTTGCTGCCCGTGCCTCGTGCTCGCGCCCCCGTGCGCTCTGCTACTGTCTGCGCCCTCGTGCGCACTGTTCCCCCCCCCCCCCCCCCCTCCCCCCCCCGTTTGCGGGTGTGGGGGTGCTCCGTTTGTGTCGCCCCTTCCTTCTCCTCCTCCGTCGTCTCCCACTGCTGCAGCTGTCGCTGAGGGGGGTGGTTGTGTGGGAGACTGGGGTTTAGGGTTTAAGGGGGGTGCGTGGGAGTGGAGCTAGGGGTGTAGCAGCGGGTGTGTGTCAGGGGGGTGGGACTGTTTGTGGGAGGTTGAGCGGAGGCTGCCGTCTTGTAGTCCGCAGCACCTGTAGTCCGGGGCGCTGTCCTGGTAGCCCAGTGAGCCTGCTGCGCCTGTCGCCCGTGGGTCCGTTGCTCCTGCCGCTCTTCGTAGCCGCCGAGCCAGTTACTCCAGTAGTCCGGGGCGCTGTCCCGGTAGCCACTGTGCCAGCCGCTCCTGTTGCCCGTGTGTCTGCAGCTTCAGCAGTCGCCTCCCATCTCCTCTCCTCTCACTCTCCCTCCTCCTCCTCACTTGCCCGTTGTGACCACCACTAGCTTTGCTGATAATTGTGCACTTTAACTATTGCTTCTTGAACGTGTGCTCAGAATGTGTGGTGACATTGTGATCCACCCTGAGCTTGTACTGCTTTGCCTGCTCTGCTGATTTCACCCCACTTTGGTTATGGGGGTGTGTCAGAATATATTTGCTGTCTAGCCTGCAGTGGGGTACTCTGTAATGAGTACAACCCAATTTAGGGCAATGTACTTGTATTCCAACTCTTGTTAGTCACTTCACTTCCCTTCCAAATTTCTCGATACTCACCTAACCCACTCGAACTCACCTACCTCCTAGTGTGGGCCTAGGCTACTAAGCCTAGGCCCCACACCTACTTTTTCACACTAAATGCTGTCTTGGCGCAGTCCGATGGTTCGACCCGAATTTGATGGTAACCCCCCATAAGTCTATTTTCGACAATACCCATGCTGTTCGCAGCTGGTCGATCAATTCGTCGGCGCGGGGGATGGGGTATCGTGATTTGACTGTTACTCTGTTGAGCGCTCGGTAATCAATGCACATGCGAAATCCTCCGTCTTTTTTCGGTGTGAACAGTATCGGTGCGGCGAACGGTAACGAGCTCGGTCGGATAAACTGCTTCTCTAACAAATAATCTAACTGCTTCCTTAGTTCGTCGAGCTCGGGCTGTGTCAGTCTGAACTGGCGCTGTACAGTTGGCTGTGCCCCCGGTTCGAACTCGATCCTATGGTCATGCGCCCACTGAGGTGGCAGTCCTTGCGGTAAATCGTCTGGAAAAATCCCCGGGTACCGTTTCAACAGATCCTCTGCCAACAGTTTCTGAAAATCGCTCGGCTGCTCCTCTTCTCCTACTAGTGCTATATCCACTGCGTACACGTCAGCTCTCGCGGCAACAACCCGTTTAATCGTGATGGCGTTGACGTGGACCGTTGAAGACTCGGGTGACCGCCAGGGAGGTAGTTCGACCCAGTTACCACTACTTCGCACAGTGCAGCTACCCGTCGTCCAGTCAATTCGCGGGTTATACCGTCGCAGCCAATCACGTCCCAATAAAATGTCGTGCCCATCCAGTGTCGTGGCGAGCATTTCCTGTGTAAACCCGAAGTTCCCTCCGCAGCGGATTTTTACTCGCTCCACCTTTTCCCGTATGGCCAGTGGCGTGCTGTCGACTAAGCGTGCGTCTATCTCAGGTAAGCAGCGGTTAAGTGTTAACTGCAGTTTCCGTGCGGTCGCGGTATTAACTAAACTGTGACTTGTCAAATTATAATATTGTGTAGGCTATAGTGGGGTAGCCTATATGGGGTACACATTTCTAGGGTTGCATATTTGTATCACTTCCATTCCTTAGTCATTCATTCTCGTTCTCATTTTCTAATGGTATCGAGCAGGTTCCCCTAGGGAACTGTGCATAGGGCCCACCAAAGTTCGATTTTTTTTTTTCCTTCCCGAAGCGCGCTCCGCCCGAGTCGCGCTCTCACCTCGTCGAGCCGCCCTAGCGGCCCCTATGCCCTAGCGGCCCTCCCTACCTTAGCGGCCCCGTCGCCCGTTCGTGCGGCCCCGCCACCTACTAGCGTGGCCCCGCCACCCGCATTCGCGGCCCCGCCGCCCTACGTCGCGACCCCGCCGCCCTAACTGCGGCCTCGCCGCCCTACTCCTGCTGCCCCGCCGCCCTACTTCGCGGCCCCGCCGCTCTACGTCGCGGCCCCGCCGCCCTGTTCAGCGGCCCCGCCGCCCCTCTTCGCGGCCCCGCAGCCCCACTTCGCGGCCCCGCCGCCCTACTTCAGCGGCCCCGCCGCCCGTCTGCTGCGGCCCCGCCGCCCCACTTCGCGGCCCCGCCGCCCTTCTTCAGCGGCCCCGCTGCCCGTCTGCTGCGGCCCCGCCGCCCCACTTCGCGGCCCCGCCGCCCCACTTTGCGGCCCCGCCGCCCTACTTCAACGGGCCCCGCCACCCTACTTCAGCGGCCCCGCCGCCCTACGTCTGCGGCCCCGCCGCCCGTCTGCTGCGGCCCCGCCGCCCTACACCTGCGGCCTCGCCGCCCTACTTCAAGGGCCCCGCCGCCCTACTTCAAGGGCCCCGTCGCCCTACTTCACTGGCCCCGCCGCCCTACGTCAACGGGTCCCGCCGCCCGTCTGCTGCGGCCCCGCCGCTCTCCCCTCCTGCAGCAACGCGCCCGAGCCGCAGACCACCGCGCCGCCCTGTACCAGAGGAGCCGAGCCGCCCTGCCCCCGAGCCGCCCGGCCCCCCCACCAGCCGAGCCGCCGTGCAGCCGAGCCGCCCAGCCGCCGAGCCGCGGAGCCGCCCAGCAGCCGAGCCGCCCCGCAGCCAAGCCGCTGAGCCACCCAGCAGCCGAGCCGCCCAGCCGCCCAGCCGCCCAGCCGCCGAGCCGCCCTACAGTTGAGCCGTCCGAGCAGCCCTGTCCGGTGAGCACAGCCTCTCTGTCACTGCGTGCCCTTCCCCTACTGCTTGCACTGCTAGTCTACCGTCGTCATGGCTACCCCTAGTGTCCTCGCTTTTGACGCTGAGGGTCGAGCCATTGACTTTGAGGTCTGGGTCGACGACCTGCAGCTGTTCTTACAGTGCGATAGGGCGGACGGTCTTTCTCTCTTTCACCTCACCTCTGGCGCCTCTCCTGCCCCTGCTGCTGATGCTGATCCCACTGTTCGCTCTCAGTGGGCCACCCGCGATGCTGCTGCACGTCTTGCTGTGCGTCGCCACCTGCCTACCACTGAGCGCGCGCACTTTAGTCTGTACAAGAGTGCTCAGACCTTGTACGACGCTGTAGTTGCGCGCTACTCTTCCCCTGCCACTGCTGCACTGAGCCGCCTCATGCTACCGTACCTCTTCCCTGACCTTGGTGCATTTCCCACAGTTGCTGACCTCATTACGCACCTCCGCACTAGTGACACTCGCTACCGCACCGCGCTGCCTGCTGAGTTCTACGCCAAGAACCCCCCCCCCATGTACATCACTCTCTATTACATAGTCACCCGCCTCCCTGACTCCCTTCGCGTAGTCAGGGACCACCTTCTCTCAGTCTGTCCCACCACTCTCACTGTTGACCTCCTAGAGAAGGCCCTCCTAGCAGCGGAGAAGAGCATAGTCGCTGTAGGAGCCTCTCGTGGTGACCCTCGCACCCCCATCTTTGAGGGGTGTTCCCCTTCCCCCCTGTTGCCCACTGTAGCCTCTGCTGCTACGGCCGACCTCGTTGGTCTTGAGTCGGTCGGTGCGGCGTCTGCCCCTAGCGGGAGACGCCGCCCTTGCAAGGGCAAGGGGGGCAAGGGCGCGGGTGGAGCTAGCGGGGGTGGTGGAGGTGGCGGTGCAGGCGGCGGAGGGAGTGGGGGAGGCGGTGGGAGTGGTGGCGGGGGTGGAGGTGGTGGTGGCAGCAGCGGAGGCGGAGGCAGCGGAGGCGGCAGCGGTGGGAGCGGAGGCGGCGGTGGTGGTGGAGGTGGAGGCGGCGATGGCAGAGGAGGTGGAGCTGGTCGAGGTGGTACTTTTCAGCAGAGCGGCTCCTGGAGTGGTCAGCGCCAGCAGCAGCAGCAGCAGCGTTCTCGGGACATCCCCCCTCCTCAGCAGCTCCGTGAGTGGTACACGCAGCGTCAGCGTGGTGGGGGTTTTGGCCCGTGCACCTACGTCCTCCGCTCCGGCGACCGCACGGGTGAGCAGTGTGGGGGTGCTCACCCCACCCAGCGCTGCTTTGGCCGCCTGACGGACGCTTGGCGTCAGCAGTTCCCGGAGGCTTGTGAGATCCCCAGCTGGGGAGAGCTGTCTAGGGCAAGCGTAGCTATCTTTGATCTTGACTTTGATGCTATCCTTGCTGCCATGTATGCTGTGACTATTAGTGATGAGGGTGACTGTTACCGGTGTTTCCCGCCCGACCCGGGCATTGGTACTGCTGCTCTAGGTACTGGTGAGGCTGCTGCTCTAGGTGCTAGTGCGTCCGCGCCCTCAGGTGCTGGTGAGTCTGCGCTCTCAGGTACCACGTCGGCTTCGGCCTCCCTCACCTTCACACTTGACTCAGGGGCTTCTCGGTCCTTCTTTCGAGACCGCACCACACTCACGCCGCTTGGTCGGCCAGTTGCAGTCTCCCTGGCAAACCCCTCTGGGGGTCTTGTCCTCTCTCACTTCTCCACTGTCCTCCCATGTCCGGCTGCCCCCTCTGGCACCTTGTCTGGTCTTTACCTCCCCTCGTTCTCTACAAACTTGGTGAGTGGTGCTGACCTGCAGGATACGGGGGTTCATCAGTTCACTCCTGCGAGTCAACGGGTGACCCACTGCATGGACGCTCGGATAGGCCGACACCTGGCCACGTTTACACGTCGGCCGGGGTCGAGCCCGTACACACTGACCACTGAGTCTCCTCCAGTCACTGCGTCTGGTCAGGTAGCTGCGTTGGGTCAGGTGTTTGCTGCTGCGTCCAGGTCTGGTCCTGAGTCTGCCCCCTGCTCGTGTCGCCTCCTGTCTCACGAGACTCTCCTCTGGCACCACCGTCTTGGTCACCCCTCCCTGCCTCGTGTCCGAGGCATGGCTTCCCGTGTCCTTGTCTCTGGTCTTCCCCGGTCCCTCCCTCCCCTTCCTCCGGGGCCTGGTCCTTCCTGTGTCCCCTGTGTCGAGGGGCGGATCCGAGT